AATATGATACATTTGGCATTATAGGGTTAAGTCTGGAAACTATTTAACTTTGACTCAGAATATGGAGAATAAGGAACCTTGCTGTTGATGAATTTACTGACTAAAAATGTTTTCAACTTTAATGCATGTGATGAACTTGACATGTAATACCAAAAAAAAAATGATTGAAATGATGAGAAACTATTAAATTTGGAACAAATAACACCAAATTAATTACAATTAAAAGTAACATGAAATACACCACTGACAAGAAACTAAGTAGTATTTCAATAATGGTATAAGTCCAAATATTAAAGTGTTCATGTGAATCATGAATCATTTGATTATGGAGTTTAATATGAGATGATCATGTCTGGCTGAACCTTTAAATGCTGCTTGTTTTGTGTTTTAAGCTTTAGACAGACCCTACGTCTTCCAGTCTTCATCCAGCGAAGACCCTGAGAACTACGTCTATTACCTGAACGTTTGTGGAAAGATTCCCACACAGGAATGTGGGGACGACCCTTTTATCTCGTCCTGCCAGGTGAAGAGCTCTGCAAACACCAACAAAGTGGCCGGGAGATTTCAGAACCAGACGTTACGGTAATATTTGTCTCTTGTGTCCCATTGTCTGGACTGTTTACACTAGAACTAAACCAAAGATCTATCATTTTCTACATCAGAGGTTTTCAACCTTTCTCAGTCTCAGATCCTCCTGATTCACAACAATTAAGAGCTCTTTTCTAGATCAGAAATATAGAAATTTATTTTTGTACCTTTAATAATAGGTTTTAAGCTGTTATTACTGCAAATTAAAATGTCTAGTATAAAACCCAAAGTTAAAAACACTTATTTGCAGAGCCAGAGATTTGGGTTTGCATAAGAACAAAAAGGTGTTTGAGACGATTAACATGTCCTTAGAACCACTATGTCCATGGGATGGTAAAAGGTAGTAGATAAACTAACATTTAAGGCAATTAGAAAGCATTAAAACATCTTTTTTTAATGACTGCCTTGGTTAGCATTATTTTTTCTACCATTTAAGTTATTACAGAATTTAATCTAGTTTACATTATGGGGTGTACAATTTCAGCAGAGCTCTCCGGTCTGCTGATCAAATGATTCTGGGCATGCCCAGATCCCGGTATAAACAGTATTTACAGCAGTTAAACTGTGGAACAGCCTGCCCCATCGGTCTGTGGGTTCTCACAGATCCGCCCCTTTTTAAGTCCAGATTAAAGAGTCTTTTTTTTTTTTTTTTAATACTTACAACACGCTGTTAAATGCTTAGGATTTATGTATTTTTTACAATGTTTTAATCTTTCTCTGAAGCACTTTGGTCTTCCTGGTGTTGTTGTAAAGGGCTATACAAATAAACTTTGATTGATTTTTGTAATTTTTTCTAGGGATGCACGATATTGGGATTTTGGCCGATATCCAATATGTTGATATTTTAAAACTCATGTAGCCGATAACCGA